GATGTGCGCTTCAGAGATGTGGCCCTTGTTTATACTCACCCCAAGATTCTTTTTCCTTGATGAGGTTTGTAGACTCTGCCCCCCTAGAACTTACTCCAGCTGCGGTCGTCTTTGCCCTTCCCCAATCTCATGACTTCGGCACTTGGCGGGTTGAATTCCAGGAGCAATTCTGGACTAGGTCTGCAGCCTGTCCAGATCCTTTTTGTGTCTGCCTGTCTTCGTCCGAATGAAATCTTCTCATCAACTTTCACACCATCTGCAAACAGGGACACTTCGAGTCTATTCCGTCCGTCATGTCGTTCACAAATATCCAGAAACAGCAGTGTCTAGGACTGACCCTGTGGGGCCCCGCTGTCACAGTTCCCACGTCTGCACCTCGCCACGTACCAGACTCGCTGCTGTCTTCCTGCCAGTATTCCCGATCATTGAAGTCCTTCCTGTAACCCTGCCTGGTCTCTATTTTTGCACTAAATCTCTTGTGTGAACGATGTCAAAACGCCTTCTTACAATCCAGAAAAATGCAAATCTGCCCACCCCCCTTGTCTCTTGTCTTACTGCGTCACCCTGTGGTGTGTGTACTCTACCTATTGTACTCAACTAGTTGTGGTTGAAGGGGTCGAGTCCACAGCTCCTGCCCCCGCCTGCTTCGCTGATTTGCTACTAGGGTCCTCTCGCTCCCTGCCCCATGACTCTATCACTAACCTCGCTTAAAACTTGTATGGTTCCCGCCTCCACTACAGTCACTTTCTAGGCTATTCCACGGCCTGACTACTCTATGACTGAAGTAATTACTTCCTAACATCCCTTTGATTCATCTGAGTCTTCAACTTCTAATTGTGACCTCTTGTGTCCTGTGTCCTTCTCTGACCATCCCGTCTTTGTCCACCTCTCTTTTTCGCGCAGTATTTTATATGTCGTTTATCATGTCTCCCCTGACACTCCTGTCCTCCAGTGTCGTCAGCAGATGTTCCTATCGTATTCATGAGGTAAGCCCAGGCTATGGGTCGTGTAGGTTTCATCCGTTGCTAGTTACGCTTTTTCTGTAGTGCTGGACTTGGGTGTGGATTCCATACTGGTGGGCTTTTACGCCACAGGAGGGGCCTGACGTAATTGGTTTACAAGACCGTAAAAGTTAATTACTGAGGTTTCGATCCTTTACCCCGTGGGTGCAACTCAACGTTGCTGCAGGCATTTGCGTGTTTGATTGCACCCTGGAGAGATCTCGGTGGTATACTCATACCCAGGTCTTTCCCTGGTATGAGGTTCTGTCTTTGCCATCTAAACTATATTGTGTCCGGCTCGCTGTTGCCACTTCCAAAGCTTCATTACTTGGGGCATTTGCAGGGTTAAATTCAAGGACCAGTGCTGATCAGCTTGTAGCCTGTCCGGGCTCTTTGGATACCCCCTATCCTCATCCGTTTGATTCTCTCATTAGCTTCGCATCATCTGCAACAAGGACCTTCTGAAGTCTATCCTTCCGTTATTCATTCTCAATACCAAGAACACACAGTCCGAGACTGACCCTGTGGAACCCGCTTGTCACAGGCGCCACTCTGACACCTGTCGCGTACCATACTCTTGTTTTCCTCCCTGTCAGATATTCTCTAGCCATTGCAGTGCCTTCCTGGTATTGTGCACTGACCGCAAGCTTTTGCAATAACCTCTTGTGAGGAACTGTGTCGAAGGCCTCTGGCAGTCCAATTCTGCCGTCGATCCTCACAGCTCTCCTTTGTCTTTCTTCTGTCAACCTTGTCATAAAACTCTAGTAGTTTGGACACAGATTTCCGTACCTTAAAACCGTGCCTGGTGCAAATTATACCTTGTTCTTTACAGTGCCCCACCTCTCTCCTCCGATGATCTTCTCCATGACCTGCATACTATACACGTTATGATACAGTCTGTAGTTTATGCATCAAATGTCGCTCCCTTTTAATAATTGGGACTACATTTGCCATTTTTCATACTCAGGATTGCCCATTTTTCAAATGATGTGTTGAAGATCTTTTGTTAATGGCTCACATAAATATCTCCCCCCCCCCTTGGCCCTTTTTCCCCCCCGCTCTTTAAGGACCCATGGAGAGATGTTTTTCTGGTCCCACCGCCTTGAGTACAAGTCGCATAGCAACTTCTTCAACTCTCCTTGTTTATATGTACCTCATCCACCTGGCTGTGTGCCCACCTGTTTCTGATTTCTGGAGTCACTACTGTTTTCCACTGTAAATACCATCTTTAAATCTTGTGTTGACTCTGACTTACCTCTTTCGGTTTTGTGAATCCCCATCACCCTCCCAGACTGATTACCTGTCCTTGACTGTTGTTTTCCTCCTCCTTAATGTGGCTGTACAACACTTTGGGTCATCTTTTTTACTTTGATCTATGTCATTTCATTATTGTCTCTAGCCTCCCTTCTTATCTGTGCTTTCTCCCGGCTCTCGGCTGATTTCTTTATTTTCCTGATCTCTGTCCTCTGTACCTTTTCCATTCTCTATGTACTCCTAGTTTTTTTGCCCCCTACACCTTTGGGTGAACTAAGGACTCTCTGTTCTTCCCATTATATCTGTTTCCTTCGAACAAACCTCTCCTCTGGCCTCCTTCATTTTGTTGCTACATAGTCCTCTTCTTACTGAGTTTTCCTTCAGTTCGCCTCTCCCACTGAATTCTTGGAAGGAAGGTCCTCAGGCCTGATATTCCCCCTTTTAGTTTGGTTTTCCAGCCTATTCCTGCTACTCTCTCATTCCACTTTTTGGAGCTCAACTATGTATCGAAGCAAAAACCACAAGATCACTACGCCCTGGGCCTTTCATACTTATACCCTCGATGTCCGCACTACTCATGGTGAATACAAGGTCCATCTTGCTGGTTCACCTCTCCTCACTCTCGTATGTCTCTAACATGTTGATGCATGAGGTTTTCCATCCACACCGTCATCTTTGCTCTCCATTTTCTGGACCCCCCCATGGTGCTCCAGTTTTCCCAGTCAATCTCCTTGTGATTGAAATCAACCATAACTATACTTTGCTCCCCCCATGTGTGCTTCTTCCTGCCACCTATCGCTATGTGTCGATCATTGCTATGTTGCTCTCATCATATTCTTCTCTTGCCGCCCTGCATTCTGGGTGGTTGTACATTAACTGCAATTATCACCTTATGTCCCTCAGACTGGATTGTTCCTACTAAGTAGTTCCCTTTCGCCCCTGCCATCCATACCTTCCATTTTCTCAAAACCCACTCTGTTTTTAATGAGAATGCTACTCCTCCTCCCCCTCTCCTCCCTCTGTCTTTCCTGAGATTTGGTATCCGGATGAACATTGAATCTGTTATTATTCCTGGGATTTTTGTTTCTCTGAGTGCTAGTATTTCGGGGATGTATCTTTGATTCTTTCGTCCACTCCCTCCTACTTGTTGTTATTCCATCTGCATTTGTATACCACATCCTTCAACTTCTTTCTAAGACTGTGGTCTGGGAGTATATTGGGGGTTGGGAGTGGGAACCTGGTAAGGAACTATGGTTTGTTGCTGTGGTAGTTTGTAATGTATTGGTGGGGCATTGAAGTTCATGTTTTTTGATTTAGAGTTTTGGTTGCTACTGATTGAACTGTTGTAGCTTCAATAGGAAGTTTGTGAGGCTGTATTGATCCTTCCTGACGGGATCTCCTGTCTGTCTTCTCCATCCCTCTCTTTCCTCCTTCCCTTGTTCCATCTCTCTCATTTCTGCCTTTCTCTTGTTTCTTGTGTGTTGTGTTGTGAGTTGTGTATTTGTGTGTTGTGTGTGTTGTGTGTGTGTTGAGTGTTTTGTGTGTGTGTGGTGTGTGTGTATGTGGTAGGGGGGTTGGTGTTGTGTGTGTGTTGTGTTTGTTTGAACTACATTCTGTGTTATTTGTCTTCTAATATTTACTGTCGCATTGACCTTCTGTATATGCACAATATATACGTCAATACTGCCAACTTTATTTTCAGTATATAACAAAGCTTTATCATCTATCGTTCAGCCGCTGGCTGACTTTTACTTTAGAACAACTAGAAATTGCATCATTGCTTTTTTCGGTTTACACGATTAAGAAGAGGTTAAGAAATGACATTTTTTTTTTTTCATGAGTGGGCGAATGGTGTCGAATCTGTTGACAGGAGACAAGACATGGCCACCTTTATGAACAAGAAATATTGTACCACTAAGGTGTGAAACAATGAAACATGTATAAAAAAAAAAAAAAAAAAATACAATTGAAGTTAACAAGGAAACGATCCCACCCATTGGACAAGAAAACAAGGAAAATTAATTTTCCACCATTGTGAACAACGACACATGGCCCAAAATTTGTAACATGGAAGAAATGTCCTCAAGAAGGTTTAACCAAGGCAACATGCCCACCATATGTAACAAGGGCACATGTCTCAAGTATATGTAACAGAAGCATATCTCAAGAAATGTTAAAAAGGAACATGTCCCACCTAAAGAAGAAACGAGGAAGTATTTCCTGCCTCCTCTCTCAGTAAGAATATCTCATCACTCAATGTCTGGGTCTTCATCCTTGCCTCTTCCTGAATCACTCTACTTTTTCTTCTATTTCTCTGTTAATTTTACAGTGTAAGCCTTCAACCAAGATATTGAGTAACTTCCATCTTTTCCATATTAGAGCAATGATTTTACTTGCCCTTTTCTTTTAGGGATATTCTCCGTTGAGCGTCCTATTTTCCGTTGTCTTTTGTTAACCATTTTTCCCTATATTCCCCTTTGTTATTCTCACCCATCAACTTTAATACTACCAAAAGCACATGGTAATACCAACCAATGGTCTTGCCAGTACTTCAGCTGTTTTAATTATTACTTCTCTTGCCACACAACACACGCGCATTTTTGGTAGTTCTCCAGTCGAATGTATGATGCCCTGCTGCAGACTTTTGTCACTTTAGGTTAGCTCAATCTACAGCAGGTAGGCACATAGACCACTTTTTATAGTGATACTGAAGTTATTTTTGCTTATGTTCATCTTCCTCCACAGGTTTCTATTATTTTCAGGTATATCATTAACTATTCTACGCATCTTTCTTTTTTTCCTTAATCTCATTTCACCAGTTCGATCATTTGCAAAGTGAACTGTACCTTTGACAACACCTACAGGCAGAAAATAATTGACTCAATCTCCAGGTAGTAGTATTGCTCATCACAAATATCGTTAACCACCCTATCAACATTTATAAAATATGTTTTGATAATTGATTTCGCTTCCAAAACGCTTTACACTACTGCTTGCTTAATATACTCATGCACTGCTCGAGCATTCCGAGAAAAACACGCAAAAGCAAAGACAAGTAAGGTATGACGGGTGTGACCTAGTGTGTGTATACACCTATTTGCCGCAGCTCCTGTGTGTGTGTGTGTGTGTGTGTGTGTAAGTTTTACTGATTTCTGGCCTCAAGGATCCGATCATATACTCTCTTGTAACAATGCGTGATGTTTTCCTCCACTAACTGTTTATTTAGTGTGCTCCAATTACTCTCCACCTGAGAGTAAAAAAGTACTTCTTTGTGTTCCTTAACGCTTGCACTCTGCTCGTTCACTTATTCTCTCTCTCTCTCTCTCTCTCTCTCTCTCTCTCTCTCTCTCCTCTCTCTCTCTCTCTCTCTCTCTCTGCTCGTTAAAGAGAGGACTTTCTAAAGGGTGGGAGAGGCGGTCCTCTTCGTAAAGGAGATAACGTGATCCAGGTTATGAAAAAGGTGTGATTGCCTGTGTCTTCTTGAATGTTGGTATAGACACAGCAGTAACAAGATTAAGGTAAGCTAAAGCACAGCTTTAGCCTTCCTTTATCTCGTAAATATAGTTTCTGACCATTATTTCTAATATCAACAAGAACACTCTAACAGAGAATCAGTAAGAAAACAGGTTACTTAAGATGAATGATAATTTTTTTTAACCCCAATTATTTCGTATCTATCACTTGGAGATAATATTCACCTTGTTCTCACTAAAGAGTATGACCTAAAAATATTCTAAGAAAGTTTGTGGCACATTTTCAAACAGCAATCATAATTCACAAAATTCCCATTCTTGATAAGCAGTTGAGCATGAATATAAGTAAGTGACTTTTTCATAATTGAGAAGCACTAGACTAATATTAACCGCCTACCTTCCCTGAATTTGTTACTATCATATTCCAGTCTTTCATGAACCAGCTGGATGTAAGCCTTACAAATACAGAATTCTACTAAGTTACCAGGATGCCGATGGCCACTGCATCAGGTGGAAGTTCATAACTAAACAGAATGTCCAGTTGTCCACGTTTACTTAAAGCACACAATTTAGAATTAGAAATTTGTAGTATTTAGAAATGGAGTAAGTAGTATACAGTAATGCTGCTGGTAATGGAATTAAATAAACTGTTGCAGTACAATATGAGTAGCAATATTGCGCTAATCGTAGATATAGCCAATGCCTTCCATCCAATAATATATTTCCTACATAATTTACATTTTCATTTTGCCAATGTGTTACAGAATATAGTATTATGTTTGTGAATCCTCTGTCATCATGGAAGTAGCCAGATGGAAGGTAGGGAAAGGCTCTTTTTTACTATTCTTAACTTAGCTAACTAGATACTGCAATACTAGATAGTCTTAACTCGAGATAGTAGTGTACAAGACAGTCCTCACTCGAGGTAGTAGTAGATGAACTCCCGTAGATCTCCTCCGTTTGTACTGTAAAAATATTCCTCTTTACATTTCCCATATTTTCCATAGTACTCTCTCTTTTTTTTTTTACACAGGATTTGACAAGGTTAAGAATCCCTAACTTTATTGACAAGCTATTTACAGGTTAAAGATTCTTAACTTTATTGGCAAGCTAAGAGCTGTTGCCTACATCAGCTCATTTGAAAGCATTTTTATTGTTATGAGACATACAAGTAGGGAACAGGATGTAGTTGGAGCCATCTGTGGGCCAGCATTTTCATTTGATCAACTGACTTTACCTCGTTGACATCATTATGCTGTACGAATGTGTTCCATACTCGAGTCATCCTGGGTATATATGATCTTAGATGGAGTGATGTTCTGGAGAAGGGTACAGCCAGAGTGAAGTTGCTGCTTTCTGCCCGTCTTGTGGCATAAAAGCTTGTTTCACGCTGTCCTCGAAGTGGATCCAAGTGTGGTACTTTGACAATATTGGCCTTGTACATAACAGTAAGGCCACCCACATCCCTCCTATGTTGAAGGCTCTGCTGAAATGACAGATCTATCCAGGATTGGTCCAGGCGAGAGATGAGACGTCTTGCTCTGTTCTCTACTCTGTCAAGCAGTCGCAGATGAGAGGGGGGCAGGCAAACCAAGAAAGTGGAGCATACTCAAGGTGTGAGCGTACTTGTGCCTCGTACAGAATCTTTGCAAGCCCTACTGTCAAGCAGACATGCTCTCTCTCTCTCTCTCTCTCTCTCTCTCTCTCTCTCTCTCTCTCTCTCTTCTCTCTCTCTCTCTCTCTCTCTCTCTCTCTCTCTCTCTCCCCTGTTAAATGTACCTTTGTGCCAGTAGGCTAGTGTTTGCTCGTTATGTCGGCTCTTCGAATAATTTTTTTCTCTCTTTATTCGCATTCGCATTTTTTTATTAATTTCTGTGTTTTTATTTGCCCGGCAGCTTGTTGGTCTGGTGATGCCTGTAGGCTCGCTTGTGTCCGGATTTGCTGCTCGTTAAGAGTTCCACAAATGGTGTTTTTCTTTTGTGTTTTATTTTATTTCTAACATATCCCATCTCTCTTTCTCTCTGCCTCTGTCTGTCTGTCTGTCTCTGTCTCTGTCTGTCTGTCTGTCTGTCTCTCTCTCTCTCTCTCTCTCTCTCTCTCTCTCTCTCTCTCTCTCTCTCTCTCTCTCTCTCTCTCTCTCTCTCTCTCTCTCTTTGTGTACAAGACAGACATTCTACAGCCAAAATACTAGTTTTCTGTCTGGCCCTTCGAATCTAAGGCACCCATCCATTACCCACTAAGTGCTTGTTAAGAAATTCTGTTCAGTTTTATCACGTTAGGAGGAGCATGTAGTGCTTTATAGCCAGACCTTACCCACTAGGAATATACACTACCTTCGTTTATATTATACATATATATATATATATATATATATATATTATATATATATATATATATATATATATATATATATAATATATATATGTGTGTGTGTGTGTGTGTGTGTGTGTGTTGTGTCGTGCCGAATATGTAAAACTGGTCAATAGCAAGAACTCACTTAAAATTAAGTCCTTTCTAAAATTTTCTCTTATACGTTTAAAGATATATTTTTTCATTAATGTTGATGTAAAAATTTACAATTTTGCACCAAAGGGAACTTAGAAAAACTTACCTAACCTTATTATAACAAGCGCAATTTATTTTAGCCTAACCCAACTAAATATATTTTAGATTTGTTTACAATAATTTAATACTAAACAAACACAGTGAAATACATTTTTTCGTTAGGTTCAGAATGATTTTGGCGAAATTATTGCATACACAAATTTTCACTTGTCCTATATGGCAAGATGAGCGTTGCTATTTAAGCCAAGATAGCAAGTTCTGCCTATTCGGCACGACATATATATTATATAATATATATATATATATATATATATATATATATATAATATATATATATATATATATATATATATTTATTTATTTATTTATTATTATCACACTGGCCGATTCCCACCAAGGCAGGGTGGCCCGAAAAAGAAAAACTTTCACCATCATTCACTCCATCACTGTCTTGTCAGAAGGGTGCTTTACACTACAGTTTTTAAACTGCAACATTAACACCCCTCCTTCAGAGTGCAGGCACTGTACTTCCCATCTCCAGGACTCAAGTCCGGCCTGCCGGTTTCCCTGAACCCCTTCATAAATGTTATTTTGCTCACACTCCAACAGCACGTCAAGTATTAAAAACCATTTGTCTCCATTCACTCCTATCAAACACGCTCACGCATGCCTGCTGGAAGTCCAAGCCCCTCGCACACAAAACTTCCTTTACCCCCTACCTCCAACCTTTCCTAGGCCGACCCCTACCCCGCATTCCTTCCACTACAGACTGATACACTCTTGAAGTCACTCTGCTTCGCTCCATTCTCTCTACATGTCCGAACCACCTCAACAACCCTTCCTCAGCCCTCTGGACAACAGTTTTGGTAATCCCGCACCTTCCCCTAACTTCCAAACTACGAATTCTCTGCATTATATTCACACCACACATTGCCCTCAGACATGACATCTCCACTGCCTCCAGCCTTCTCCTCGCTGCAATATTCATCATCCATGCTTCACACCCATATAAGAGCGATGGTAAAACTATACTCTCATACATTCCCCTCTTTGTCTCCAAGGACAAAGTTCTTTGTCTCCACAGACTCCTAAGTGCACCACTCACCCTTTTCCCCTCATCAATTCTATGATTCACCTCATCTTTCATAGACCCATCCGCTGACACGTCAACTCCCAAATATCTGAATACATTCACCTCCTCCATACTCTCTCCCTCCAATCTGATATCCAATCTTTCATCACCTAAACTTTTTGTTATCCTCATAACCTTACTCTTTCCTGTATTCACTTTTAATTTTCTTCTTTTGCACACCCTACCAAATTCATCCACCAATCTCTGCAACTTCTCTTCAGAATCTCCCAAGAGCACAGTGTCATCAGCAAAGAGCAACTGTGGCAACTCCCACTTTATGTTTGATTCTTTATCTTTTAACTCCACGCCTCTTGCCAAGACCCTCGCATTTACTTCTCTTACAACCCCATCTATAAATATATTAAACAACCACGGTGACATCACACATCCTTGTCTAAGGCCTACTTTTTCTGGGAAATAATTTCCCTCTTTCCTACATACTCTAACTTGAGCCTCATTATCCTCGTAAAAACTCTTCACTGCTTTCAGTAACCTACCTCCTACACCATACACCTGCAACATCTGCCACATTGCCCCCCCTATCCACCCTGTCATACGCCTTTTCCAAATCCATAAATGCCTCACAGACCTC